GGATTGTTGGATAATGCACGTTGTTGTCCCTTCTCGATTTTAGCGAGGGCAAGAAATCCAGTCAGAATGGTCTCTTTTTCATCTCCTCAAAAACAGGAGAGAAAACCAAGAAGAAATTCAGACGTATCCACATTGACAGAACTTAGCTCAGAGGTAGGGATAGAACGTAGGACCTTACACTTCAAAACCATAAGGCCTTCCCACTTTTCCTAACGTGTTTCCTGCACAGGAGCAACAGGCTTTTAGTGGTTACTAGAAATAGCTACTAAAACTGAAGACTTAGTAGATGCTCTAAGCTATGGAAGAGTAAAGTTAACCAAAGCTGTGCAGTCTGTACAAAGCAGTCTGGTTTACCCTGAATGTGAAATCAAGCGAATACAATGAGTCAGTGCAGCTGCTATTAAGAGAAACACATACATCTCTTCAACAGCTCTTACACTGACAGTGCAGTTAAAGGAAGAAAATTAATGATATAAAAAAATAAAACTGGATCTATTACTTAGTGGTTGTTATTTCCAGTAAAATTAAAAATTAAATCTATTTTGATAGATGTTTATAAAGTGCTTAGAAGTTTTTGTAACATTTTACAAATGTAATTCTTAGATCTGTACAACAGTATTAGCTGAATGGATGCACACAGCAATATAAATAGATGGGAAAATACAGAGTTTTCAAGAAATACTTCCTTGTCTTCTATTGAAGCCAACATTATATCCTTGCTGTTGAAAATCCCGAAGGTAAAACTTTATTTAAAACTTACATTTATTATAAATGTAAAAGAGTAAATTACAGCTGTTCTCAGGCCCTCTTTTTGTTTTTATTATAAAGGAGTAAATTTTGCCAGAAGCACATGTTAGAAATACGTAAATAGTGAGCAACACTTCATGGGCAGAAGTTACAGAAAGAAAGCAATTTACAAAGGGATGCTTCATGTGGTTTCCTTCTGAACATCTACCACTTTTTATTTTTTTAAAAAAGAGAAAAAAAGAAGAGGCAAAATCTTGAGTTCTTGATAAAGAATTTTCCAATACAATGTGACATATGGTGAGTGTGTGAGCACGTGTTGGAGGAGGAGATGGTGGCTCAATGGATTAGTCATTTGCCTTTCACCTCTGGAAGCATAGTTAAACTCAGTTCTGACCAGAGCTGCACAGTATATTCCAGATGGCTAAAGTGGGCCTAATTAAAATGAATTCAGTGATGTCACCTTGGATCTAAGTGAATCGCATGCACCACTCATTTGGCATTTTGGCAATGTCAGTTCACAAATGAAATAACCAGATTAAAATCCTCCCTTAAGTCTTTTGGGACAACAGTCACACTGCATGGAAATACATGCTATCATAACTAGAAAATGTAATTTTATAATTGTATTATCTGTTGTTTTAAATTCCAATTAATGCATTGTTCTAATACAAAGAAACATTAACTGAGACTTGCATGTGAGGTAAATCAGTGCAGCAACATTTCAGTCTGACGATTCAGCGTATATATACTGATTTAAACTAGCCGTGATTCTAGTAACATAATTTAAAAAAGAAATCTTTGTTTTAGTATTTTTCCTTTTATGTAGACGTAAATCAAAAAATAAAAATCCCAATTACAAAGAAACAGAAGTGCAAAGTATTGCTAACTCCAACGCTTTACACAAAATCATTCCTTACAATTTGTTTCCAAGTTAAAAACTGGCATTTTCTAACCTTCACAGTTTGAAAAAGTGTGACTGGAAGAAGCAGGAAGGACCTTGTGTACCATTTTAGCCATGAGCAATAACGTCTGTGTATTCTGAGAATCTGTGATGAAGTAGGGTATCTTTTTCTTCCCCACCTAATTTAAATTCACAAGTATTTGGTTTCCTAGTAAAGGTGTTTTTCTCCATCTGAAATAATGACTTCCCCCCCCCCCGTAATACAGTACACTCAGGAATTGTATCCTCATATATATTGTGAGGGTTGGGTTTTTTCTAAGTTTGTTTTTATTTCCAACATTTCTTCAATGGATAGTGAACTGCTGGGCCCACAGAGATCTCCAGACCACCAGCTCATGTATTTGAAAGGCATCTGTTTATTTTTAAAATGCAAATGCAGCCTACCTCAAAGACTGACTTGTAAGAAATGAACAATCTGAACAAGTCAAGAGGTTTCCAATCAGGAGCTGTGTTCCTCCTTTATATCAGACTATGATCATTTGCTGTCAAAACCACTTAAACAATATCCTGGAATCTGAATGAAGTCCCCCCACAATTAAAATGAGCAGGATAATCCTGCAAGAATTATTCAGGCAAATCATTTTTCACACAGTTTAAAGTAATGATAAGGTCATTTACAAAAGAAATCAGCGCCTTTGAAATGCTGACTTGTAGACAGAGGACTGCCTGGAGGAGGGCCATAGATAACAGTGAAGACTGGCCTCCTAACACTACCCTCGCAGTCTTTGGAACTGATTCTGATGAAGAGAAGGCCCAATAAGGTTAATACCCCTACTTTGATCTCTGTCAAAGCGTACCAGCAAGAATTAATTTACATTTCAGATGAAAAAGGTTGACAGCATGAAAAGGCATCTTGTTTCTGGTATGTGAATGTGCTGTAATAGATCGGGAATTCTGAAAGGAAGTTCTGAGGAAGCTAAAGGGATAAGCCGAGCGGCTGCTTTTATTGGGAAAGAGATGAAAGGAAAACAAATTTCAATATGCGCTGTTCTGTAGAAACATGTAAGCCAAATGCTTCCTAAATTTCAAGGCCTGCTTGAGTAGAGGAGGAGGAGGGGGAAGGGAAAGGAAAGGGAAGTACATATATTTTAATTATATGGTTTTGCTAATGTCTGGATGACAAATGCAAACAATATATCTCACTGCCTGAAATGCCTCGTTTAAAAAAAAATAAAACAACCAAAGGTGATCATGCTCCATTTTACTGAAAAGCTGCCTTGAACTACACACATTATAAGATGTGCCGGGAAGGGAGAGATTTGGAATTGCTTTTGTCTCCATGTCACTAAGCACTTGGACTGTGTGATGTAAACAACAGAAAGACTGTCAGTGTATTTTAAAACCTGGAAAATGGCCATGATTAGCAAGCATGAGCTTTGATTTTGAACACAGAATAATTAGCATGTAGAGAAAAGAAAATGTGCACAAGAAGAATTTTCAAATAAGAAATCGTAGATATAGCTTTCTAAAGGCAGACAGAAATGTGTTGAGGATTATTATTATTATTACTACTACTACTACTATATCCCTTTGAATGCAGTGTCAAAGATAGGAGGAGCAGACAGCCTAATTAATATGAAGGTGCACCATGTCACTCTTAACCCTATAGTCTTAATGCTTATTCACCCGGACTGATCAACGAAACTGTCAGGTGCCAGGTTACAAAGGAAGAGAGCGCGTGTGTCAGTGGGAAGAGTGTTAACAGCATTCCTCCAGCATTAGGTCCAGAGGGCTCAACAGAAGTGTCCAAATTCAAGGGCAAGTGTACAGTCCCACTGCCACTGCTCTGCCATGCTTGATGCAGCGCCTCACAGACAGCCGGAAGAAACATCTCCAAATCTCTGCCATGTGTGCAAAGAGCAAAATAGATCAGTTGCTTTCTCTAAAGAGTTAGTAATGAGCAGGCATCTCCTACATGCCTAAGAAATCTGGCTGGATAGAACTCTAAGGCAGCATATCCCCTATAGTCTCCAAATGATAGTGCAACACACCAGGGTCCTACTGAATCCGAGAGAACTCACATCTTCAGGAACTGGTAGTAGTGGGACAGTGACGGGTCATCTGTTTCACTTTCCTTTTTACAGCAAAAGGCTGTTGCAAGCCAGGAAATAAATGAAAGTCGAGGTACGGCAAATGCAGCAAATACTCCAGGAAATAGTTGCAGAGGGTGCTTTAAGATCTACTCTCTGTGCTATCATGAAAACAACGGAAAGCGTCAACACAAAGGAGAACAAGAAGGGAGAGACTGCTTATGTAGTCCTTCAGTGCTTGTTGTAATGGCAGAAAAAATTTCCCCTTAACAGTTCTCCATTTAATAGAATATTCTGCATTTGACTCTAGAGCTATAGTTCATGATTCTACATAGCAGTATGCATGCAAAGCTATAAAATATTATCTTATCCTAATGACACTTTATTCCTTTCTGTAACTAGACTGGTATTCTCTTTTCTGCTGAAAGTCACAGTGATGCTTAATTTCAGAGTGTATGATAGAGAACAGAGAAGGATGACAAAACTTAAGACATTATAGCACAGGAGGCAGGTAGAATAAAGGTGGTACACCTTGGTTTACCTGTAAACATATTTGTTACAACTCATTTTCAATCGTCTACAGTCTTTCAACCTGGGGTTGGACACGGAAGGTGTATTACACTGCATCATATGGAGGCCGCTTCATATTGGCAGTGTCTGAAAACACCATTGAGTTCATGGCACTGGTTCTCAGATTTCTGTGCCATATGGTACCCTGCTCTCTACTAGAGACCTACACAGCCCTATGGGCCTGTTCCTCCAATAATCTCTTTAAAGTTTATTCAAATTCATATTGATATGGCTGCATAGGAGTCTGGCACAGAGTCAAAAGATTGGCCAAAGCTGGCAAACCCAGCAAGCAGTCAAAACAAAAACCTGGCAATCTGCCAAGATCAGGCCTCGACACAAAGACAGAGAAATGCATGTCCAGTGCTTCCCATCCACATTTGCAGTCAAATCAATCGAGTGCTTCACACAAGCTCTACATGTAGTTTTATAATACTGTGCTCAGAAGAATCTTAAAAGAATTAACTCAACAGCTTTTAATCAGTATCTTTTGCTTCCAGAGAGGTACTTACAAAAAACCCAAAGTGTCTGACACCTGTCACTGATGTCATTTGATACTGAAGAACAAATGATCAGAAGTAATTTTTTTGATAGCTTTTGTTGGGACTGTGTGTATTTCTGCTGGCTATAAACACTGACACATGAGATCACTCAAGCAAAATAGGTGTTGGCAACTGAAATAATGTTTTAATTACCTGCTTGAATACGTATAGCGGCCTCAGTTCTTCTGTTCCTTATTTCCTTGTATTTCCTGCGAGCTTCATATCCTCTCCAGGCTAAAAATACAAAACCATGTGCTGGAAATTATGTTTATTTAAGGAAGTGCTACAGAGTCTACAGAATCAGAGATGTGATGAAACTTTCATCCCGCCTGCCATAATCACTCCAGCCCCCACCTCCAGTATCTCTTCCCTACCCACCCACATGTTGAACTCTGAGTTCACGGTTGCGGTATTCACATTGCCACAACTTCAAACACTGCTTCACTCGTCCAAATGTTAATTGTCACCATGTGCTCATTGATGTCCTAATCCAAAAGGCAAAGGTGCACAATCACATCAGCACAAGAACTCCTCTCCTCACACAGAACCTCAAATCTAATACAAGGAAGCCTGCTACATTACTAACAATCAGCCTCTCAAGCCCACCCCACGATGCATGTTATCTAGAATTTTGATATACATGGGGCGCACGGTGGGGAGCAAGTGAAAGCAGGCTACTGCACTTTATTTATGCGCTGCATGCTAGCATAGACATACCTAACAATATTTTCATTTTGTGCACAGGCATCACACCAAAAATACTAAAATATTTAAATAAAGACATTACCAAATACTAAGATGACATCTTAGAAGTAAATCAGTAATATCTGCATCAATTAGCTGCAGAGAAAAGCACCTCCAGTTATTTTGATTTCATAATAAACTATTAAGAATGAATAAATAATGTACATGCAATTTAACAGTTTGAAAAGCAAAGACATTCAGTGAAATAGGGAATGTGAATATTTACCTGATTGTATGGTAATAGCACTACTTTCTCTTTTCTCTTTGACTTTCTTGTACCTTCTTGCTCCAAGCCATCCCTTGATATAGGCTTGCATGACCACTACCCTCCCTATAACTTCTCGCAGGAACAAATTTAACTGTTCTATATGGTAATATTTTAGAAAAACCTGTAATGGAAAGAATAAATCAGTATTATATGCAGGCCGTAACACTGGTCTTCCATCAGTCTATTTTAGGGCACTGTTGCTGAGAAAACTGGTAAAATACTGGTTGCTGATATCACAGCAATCTTGTGAATCAAATACTTGCTCTCGTTGTGCTTGTGGAATTTCATTATTCCACTGATTATAATCAACCCATTGCAAAACCCCCCTTTACAAAGTAAATTGGCCAGTGGGCTATTTTCAGGTATCAACAATTTTGAAATACAGCTTTCTCAACAGTGGGAAGATAAATCCCGTTTTGAATTCGATTTTAGATATTAACACTGTCCAACAGCATTCTGCTTCAGGAGGCAAATCATACAGGTGCTTACAAACACTTTATCTGGGTCTTGAGCAGGAAAATTCCCTTTTTTTCTTTTGTGCACTGTAAAACAACTCATGACACCATAAAATATATTTTTTACAGAAGTCACTCACTCCATTTTAAACTGTGAACAAAGGCTCTTGACAGAGCCAGAAGGATCTCACCTGAAACTTCACAAAAGGGTAATCACAGAATCAGACTGGCTTAGGCTGGAAAGGACCTTAGAGATCATCTAATCCAACCTCCCTGCTATAGGCAGGGACGTCACTCAACTAGACTAGATTGCTCAACCTCATCAAACCTCTGCCCCTTACCCCCTCGCCAAGGAGGGGGCATCCACAACCTCTCTGGGCAATCTGTTCCAGAGTTTTGCAACCCTCATACTGAAAAATTTTGTCCAAAGATCCAGTCTAAACTTATTCTCCTTCAATTTAAATTCATTTCTCCTTGTCCTATTGCTGGACATTCTTGTCAAAAGTCCCTCTCCAGCCTTCCTGTAGGTTCCCTTCAGGCATTGGAAGGCAGTTATAAGTTTCCTCTGGAGTCTTCTCTTCTCCAGCCTGAACAATCTCAGCTCTCTCAGCCTGTCCTTGTAGCAGAGGTGCTCCAGCCCCTGGATCATCCTTGTGGCCTCCTCTGGACTTGTTTCAACAGATCTCTGTCCCTCTTACGGTGAGGACAACATAGTTGGATGCAGTATTCGAAAGAGTACAGTAAGGGGGTAGAATCATGTCTCTTGATCTGCTGGCCACACTCCTCTTGATGCACCCCAGGACACAGTTGACCTTCTGGGCTGCATGAGTGCACCGCCGGCTCATGTCGAGCTTCTCACCTATAATGTACTAACCAGGCTCGCAGGATGGGCCAGAGCATGAATTTTCAGTCATGCCATCATTAAGAGCAGCAGGAACGTCAGGGAGGCACTCCCACAGCAGGCACTAACAGATGTACTACCCTTATCAAGGCAGCCATGTGAAGATGTGCTTTGAGGACGTCCCCAGTGCACGGCTCCTCTTGCAGCGCTCACTCAGCTGGGTTGGCAGGGCACCTCTGTAACCTGGGAGGCTTACTGGAGCAAATTCCTTGCCTTTTTCTTCATTAATGCAGTACTTTTCAAACCACTATTACATACTTCACTAAAAGAATACTATCCTTGAGAAAATGTTAGCATCCTCTACCTTGGTTTTCCCAAGAATCCAGTTGTCTAGTTTAGATTTCTCCAAAATGGCAAGACAGTTTTCTCTGCTACCAAGGGGAATCTCATGTGCCTTGAATGCAAGGTAATAATATCTGCAAAACCAAACGAGAAAGAAAGAATTGACTTGGCAATCAATATATACTCTTACTGCTCTTTTGTAGCTCAGAGCTGCATCACCAGAACTCGTAAGTCAAATCCTCCCTTACACTCAGTCCTCTTCATAAATGATGACATAGCTCTTATGAACAGATATTTAGGTATATATGTGACATAGGAAAATAAGTGGTACCATAATGGCGACAAGAATAGCTGCATTCTAGATATCCCCATTTGGTGCAATCATCTGTAAAGATCTTTCACAAACCAGTGAAACTTAGGAAACACCCAAGGTTGCTCTGAATTTCTCTTCATGAATGACAGGGAGAAGAAGCAAAAGTGCTAGAAATTGGAGTACAAGAAAGGAAGGCAAACATAAAATCTTTTGCATAATGTGCAAAATAAGTATACCATCTATAGAGCTGCATAACATACTTGGGCATAGTTACATCTCACTGCAAGTTCTGTTGAATAAGCAGGTGTTCCCTGAGGTGTCCAATGGACGTTTACAGATTTCTGAGAAGGAGAAAAGTCAAATAGTAGCACCAAAGAGAGACAAAAGCACTAAAATTAATTTATACATTATCTGATGCCTGTTTTTTACGAGAAATGCCAAAAAAGGCATGTCAGAATCTTCCAATGTTTTAGCAACTGGTATCAGACATTTTTCACACCGAAATGCAAACGGCCTAGACATTTGTCAGGAAGCAAAAATCCACACAAGAAGTCCAAGGCTCCCGAGCTTGTACCCCGATCAGTCGCATTAATGGAACTCAGGGGAGCTTCCCATTTTCAGTATGCCTAATAAAAGACGGAGGATTCTCAACTGGTGAAGATCAAGACCAGCACAAGGAGGGCGGGTAGTACAATGATACAGTGACACTGAGTGATTACTGAAACTCTATTGATATACTCTCACATCAATCTTAACTTACAGACAGCACAATGCTCAGACTGCACGAATACCCACGTGCGTTTCACATCTCCAGAAGAGGTCATATGTATGCTCAACTAAAACAATTGGCATTTATATCATATTGGCAAGAATTTTATCAGTGCTGATGGTTAAACAGACCTTGCAGCTATTGTAAGAAAACAGAAGTGCATTACTCCTCATGAATGTAATACTTTTCTTTACTCACAAGAATTTCTGTCGTTATGACTGGGTTTCTAAGTTACTAGGCATGGTGTCTTTTCTTCTGTTACACAGGGATAAACAATTAATTGCAACAATTATGATCAATTCTGCTGGACTTTGGAACAGGCTCGTACTGAACAACATTGACTTTTCTTCTTGCAAAGATTAATCCTTCACAATCATGTGAAATAACATTATTGTGCAAATAGTTAATGAAACAGGGATGCAAACATGTTTGAACTCAACAGACATTAATACTCGACCAATCCCTATCGGTAAAGCCAACATGCACTAACGAAGAATGGTTTTACAGTATCTGAGTAACTCTATTTGCAAAAAATTATGTTAAGTAACAGCAAGAACATGTGCTAGTTAGCTAACACATTTAAAGTTATTTCAGTGCAATTGCATCGTTAGATGGTAGCAACTGTCACCTCAGTTCTCATTTATGAACCATCATGTGTTGTCTTTGTCTTTATTAAGTTATACTTCTACAGGTGCTACTCTATTTACATGGTGTGTGAGAGGAACTGAACAAACCATTCTTCTAATAATTAGCATGAGGAGGAGCCATCAGATGTTCTTTAAAACATAAAGAGAAGAGGACGATCAGCGAATCTCAAAGACAAATTCCTCTATGGTCACATAGAAACAAAAAAATATCTTACCTCATATTGAAGGAAATATGGAGAAGCAATTAGACAAAATGGAATAGTGCAAGACTATTTTTTAATTAGAAGAATATGACTTTTAAATATTAGCTCAAGTTAATTTCTATATGTCAGCTCCAGTTGTCACAAGAAAGAAAAATAATAATGACTAAAATAGTCAATAAAGATCAAAGGGGAACAAAATGATGTCTGAAGGCAGAAGTAATGGAATCAGTCCTGGACCAGACACACAGATATCCACCAACTGGAGACAATGCTTGCTTTGAATAATGATAGGAGGTTATGTATTACTGAGTTATTTTTAATGCAGTGACTTTCTCTATAACATGATATTGCAAATTCTTTAGCCAAATCTTTCAAAATATTAAGAGTCATGTTCTTTAAAAGGTGTAGAGAAACATGGTGTATTTAAAAAAACAAAACCCACTACACTTCCTCCACCTTACTACTGAACTTAATGATTCTAGTTTTCCAAGACAAATGGTATTATGAGTCGCACCAGTAAAACTCAGATTTAAAACATACATATCACAAACAATTAGTGACAGCATGCAATTTCAACAGATCCTTGACAGATACATCACGCAAGCTGCGCTAATAATAAATTGCTCTTTGCTTCAAAAGCCAGTTCAGATACCCATGTTATATACACACATGTAACTTCAGCAGTTCCTTTCCTTAGAAGGAAGAATTCAAGAGAGTGACAATATTGTTTCCTGGCTGTCCATATCTTTTATGGCTTTTTACAGCAAGAGCGTGCAAATGTTGTACATGGTGAAATGGCAGAGAAAACACCTCGGAATGCATCCAGAAGTTTGGGGCATATCCAACTACAACTGTTCATTCTGATTTATTGACCTAATTTCATTTTTATCACACTTATGTACAGAGCAGCATTTCACCAATAGAAGAACTAGATACTTAATTTCAGAAAAGTAGAGCTAAAAATTACATTTGCTTCCAGAAATGAAAATGTCGTAACTCTACTTTATTTCCATGGCACTTGTTATTCTAGTAGAAAATGTTAAGATGACACCTATTTCAATTTTTAAAAGTAGGGTTTATGGTTTTCACGTATTGTTTCATAAACACGCACATATTTGTGCAAGAACACGTTATTTTCTCAGGTGTACATCCTGCTTGAAAATTTCCTACATGTGACACATACATCTACATGTTTCCTAAAAGTACTTGATTAGTCACATTCTCAGCAGGAGTAAGACTAAGTAAGAGAAAAGTAGAACTAACTTTTCAGAGCTGATGAAACTTTGGAATTACTTACTTCTTAACCAGTAGTTCTTAAACTGCACTACAAACTCTCCTTAATGGTCATGAATAGGCATTCCAGACAAAATATATATTACATGGGATTAACTTACTTAGTAGTCATTAGGCATAAATCATAATTTTAAAAAAGTTGACTCTATCCCCAGATCAACAACTGCAAGGCTAGGCCATGCAGAGTTGAGGTTAAATGTTAAAGACAACCAAGTATGCTAAATATAGAAAACTTCAGAATGATGCTATGCATTATCTATAGTGTTGGTGGGTTTAGATTAGATAAACTGATTGTAAACAAATGGTTCAATTGCTCTGCCCTCTTTAAAGGGTGAACTGTAGAATTGCTCAATAAATAGCATTTCAATGGCACCATTAAGTACTATGTCAGTGTCTCTTACTAAAGTTCCCTTCACATTCCAGGCTTAAAGGCAACATGAAATCTAGACAATTAACTCAAAAAAGTAATGATTAACTCTTTTTCTCTCTAGAACAAATCTTTGTACTAAAAGATACTGGCCTGAGGTGGAGGATGGATAATGATACGTGAGAAGCATGAGGTGCAAGAGGGCAGAATCCCTCTCTAGACAGATCCCCAGCAATAGTAGGAAGATTCTCAACATTCCAAAAGATGTTTATTTCTTCTCAGTCCTGCAGTTGGGAAGTTGTAATTAGGACTGAAAGAGCCATTAAATAACTTTCAAAAAATCCTAACTTGTATTTAACATATCTACTCTTTCGGAAGCTTTCACATCTGCATTCATAAAACTAATTACATTTGATTCTATATTGACAGTATGAATGAAAAAATGTAAATGAAAAATGAAAAAACCTATAAGATACTCTTGAAATTCAGTAACAGATACCTAACACGCTGTAAATCAGGAGCCACTGAAACAACAAATATTTCCATGGATAACAGTAATATCAAAGTATGGTGGATGTTACAACTCATTTTGAGAAATCGCTTAGGCTCTTTGGTACAATGCAGTCTCCGTGTTAAAAGTTTCATTAAAAATATATCATCTGAAAAGTAAGCATTTCTTTTTTCTTTTGTATCAAACCTCTTGACTTCCAATTTCATTCAGTGCTTCCCTGATTTTAAATTATAAACCCATCACCAACAAAATTTTAGGGTTAGAAGAAAGTATGTACTAAGGTAAAATTTTTACAGGATTTTGCAATATTTGACCAGTTTTTTTTCCTAGGTCCATGCAATGCAGGATGTGACTCATTAAGGTCAAGGAAACTTTATACAGTCATGAGAAATGTAACACTGATGGTTTAGAGACTGTGTGTACCAGGTGTACCAACAGTAACTTCATGCAAATTTGCACTGTGAGATTGAAAAAGCAGAACCAGCCTCACTGGGACCACTGTTACAGCAACAGCACTGATGCTGCCATGAGTGCATGAGCTGGGTAACTTCGTCTGGCCACTGTGGAGTAGGTAGTGCTTACAGAAAAACTACATCCTTCATCCAAACAAAGTTCAAAGAACTTTAATGCAGAATTGAAGAATGTAAACAAGAAGAAGAAAAAGAAGTCCTTAAATGAAACTTGTATAAAACTTCCCAACAGAGTCCTACGTGCTTATGAGGCTCTTCAAGCATGCTAGCATTTAGCACCATTAGACTCTCAAGCCTTATCTTTCAGCTCATCGTACAGAATACGCCAAATTACCCAGCAGGTGTACACAGCTTGGGGCTATGTGGTGAGGACACATCTACATATCACACTACGTCATGTAAAGCTCCAGGGGCCTGGGCGCTCGGATACAGCAAGCAGTGTCCCATCCAGTGGGACGTTTAGTGCTGGTCCCCGCTAGCAAGCACAACCTCCCTCAGCTGCTGGGCAGGGCATGGGCACTGTGCAGCCACGCAGGTCAGGCACAAACCTGATCGCCTTACCAGGTTAATATACCGTGTCTGAAACCTGGGATTCCAGTCCAGGAAAGGGGTCATGCTGCTTGATGGCAAACACGTCCATCGGTCAGACACACGATGGCATGCGGTGTGAGACAAGGCCAACAGAGATGGAGTGCCTAACATTTGACAGGTCTACAGCATTTACAGGGGCTGCAGACTATATTTTCCCACTTTAATTAACAGAATATGTATATTTATATACATAAAATAGATGGTTGTATACTCGGGTGAAGAAACACTGCGTGAGTGAGTTACAATTAAGCCCTCTCCTCGCCACCTGGTTTTTAACCCAATAAACTACCTCCAGGTTTGCAAGACTGAAATAATCTGTTCTACAAGAAAACAGAAGACAGTAAAGAGTAACATTAGACAGAGCTTTATCTTTTGTTTACCTCCCACCTGATAAACTCTGAATGGTTCTGTTCCCTGCCTTTGATTGTTTTGTCCTCATATTTCCTGCTAAGAGTTTACAAAACAGCATTATTGAACAGGCAGATAAGAAGCACACCTATTTGTTTAATAACATCAAGGGAGAAAAAGTGCTGGCTCATTCATTTCGTTGTTCACTTGCTCAAAAGGATCAAAATACCAATTAACTTGCTGGCTTAGAAAATCTTTGATATTCTCACATTTACTGACATTTTGAAACTCTTGTTCATACTTGCCTAATGTCTTTTTGATTATGAACAAAGAAGTGCCAATCTGTTTAGCATTTGACCTGTTTTCTCAAACATTTTTATGTATTCAACTACTTAGTTCCAAAAACACTTGACTAGTCATGGCTGTAAGTTAAAGAAAAATGTTTCTTGTTTCACTGATAGCTTTTTTAAGCATTGTGGATTTTCTTTCTTTTTTTTTCTTAAGAGCAAAACAAAATAGAATTTGTTTAAAAATAAAGCAGAATCTGAACAAAGGAGCAAGAACATCCCTTCTCCTGCCCCGTGTTTATACTTTGAACTCAGGAAGCATTCTATGCTTTTGGGCAAATTGCTAAATCTCCCCCGTCACTTCCCCTGTCATGTTGACTTTCTTTCCTGAAAGAATTACAGCAAGCTGGACTAAAAACTTCATGAGTATCAGACAAGATGTTAAACACAACTTGTCCTTATCTACAGAAATGGAAAGCTACAGTCAGGGCCGCTTTTATTACCATCACTTTTCAAAGTTGTACTCAAATTCAGTGGACTTTGGAATGAATCTACTGATAAGAGTAGGCCTAATTTCCTCTCAATTTACACTAATTTCAGTGGAGTTAATCTTAGTTCACTTATGTGTAAATTGGATAAAAGTTAAGGTTAATAATTCCGCCTGCATCCTCTTTGGGATGTTGCAAAGATGTGTTAGTGATCACAAAAATTAATCCCTTTGTAAAACCTGCTTTAGAATGGTGTGACCTTACTAAAATTAGTCTTATAACACACACACAAAAAGGTTGGGGGAGATCATAACTGAAAATTAAATTACTGTGATGGACAAACGGGCACATTAGCTATCCTTTCTGGGATATATCTCTCTAGTATTTTCTTATTACATACTCGTTTGGCATACTAATATAAATCAGAAAATTTCATAATTTTTCAGAATTAATTGATTAAGCTATGGTTTATCGTTCAACATCTCTCAGTCCAAGAACAACATATTTCCGAGCCCAAATGACTGATTTAAACACACAAATTTAACCAGTCTTTGGGTTTTAGAAAGGCTTGTGCAACTGTTTATGTCTCTTCTTTCTCAAAACCATAATCAACTCCTTCCCTCTAGCATCACAGGAGTTACTACATGCTTTCAGTAGATTCATTAACTCTGCACTGTCTGGATGAGTAACCTTCAGTCTAGAAACAATGTTTGATTTAGCCATTCGCTATTTGTTCCTACTGTTCAGTAGTTGATTACTTAACGGTACTGCTTCTGCTCCATTATTGACCTATCGATCCTACAGACTAGAAATTCTACACAAAAACTTTTTTTAAATCTAGAGGAAACCATAAAGATGATATAAACATATTGTCATCATAAAGACAACAGTGCTTCCTGAATCAAACTAATAATATTTTGAGACTGAGAATAGTATTAAAGGCAGTAATAGTAGCCATGACAAGAGTTCGGGTGAACAGAGATCTGGTTATAATTCATGATATCTCCAAGACAAATGACACAAGGCTACAGAGCTATCACGAGGAATACTACTTCTAAATTGAAAGCTTTTCTGTCAGTTCATTCTTAAGCACATACATATAGTGTATATGATGGCTGAGGGTCACTGACCTTCCAAATCCTTATATTATCTGAGCTTGATGCATAATTTCAACTTGTTACTTCTACTGAGGGAACCACGGGGACAGGCTTGCTACCAAACACTGAACGCTTACTGCTGGTCTCACATTGACTTTTCTCCATTCAAGCTCAGACATCTCTTGTCATCTTTACCCATGATAGTCACTGCTCTTGTTAGAGAATTAGACAATACATGTACAAACAAATATTTGTAGAACTTTCTGTACTTAAACACAGAACATATTTTATTGAATGGAGTTTAAAAAAAACCCAAAAAGCCATGTTATAGAAGTCTTACCTTTTCACAAACTCCTCAAAAAGGATGCGATGAGAATACCCTTTTTGACGTATTTTGACAGTTTCCAGAATTCCAGTGTATCGTAGCTGCAGTAGAACTCTCTCATGAGAAAACATCAGCGCTTCTCGATCATCGTTAGGTTTAATGCAGCGGATAAAGTGAGGCTGTCCAACAACCATTTTGGATAAAAGATCCATGAGGGAATACTAGCAAGGAAAATAAAAAAGATGTACACACTTCACAAAAAACTGCAATGCAACTCCTTGAGCAGGAGATAAGTTTTTGTAAACAGTATGTAATTCTTGACTATGTTTTAATCTGTAACACTACTTGCATTGACATTTTCTTAATTTTTAAACTTTTGGTGAAAAACCAGAACCTATTAAAAGTTTGGTTCTTTTTTTTCTACTAAAAATATTAGTTCAGAATTCTTACACCTTTCTCTTTGTCTCTCCTTATAACATACTTCTGTAGTTGAAGGCCCATATTGAAAAATGTCCTAAATATAATTCTACTTTTGGCATATTTGACTAATCAAACACCTTAAATGGAAGGACAAGCTTTACTGTGAAACAAACAATCAAGAAATTCATGGAAAATCATGAAGAAAGGGTTGGAAGAAGTCATCAGTTCAGTCCTCTGCCCAGAAAGAACCCTAGATGTATCTGTACCATTTCAGGCACATCTCTCTTAAACCCATTCTTCAGGATCACTGAGCATACAAAGTGCACAGTCTCCCTGGACAATCTACAAGTGCTACATTATCATGACTATTTGTAACATTCTTAACATCTAACCTAAATTTTTTGCCTGAAACATAGGCCCATTGCTTTTTGTCCTATCCACTCTGGACATGGAAAACAATTTATTCCATTGCTTTTTACACTAAAACCAAAAAAGTGTGATCAGATCGTATATATATCTCCATTTTTCTAATGACTCCTCTGAACACTGATACTTCTGCTCCATCCTCATCTCATTAACCCACTGTATGATAAGTATTCATTGCAAATACAGTTGACCTCAAAATCACATACAATTACAAGTGTGGTCACCGTTGCTGTAGGCTGCAACCATATTATGGGGGTTCACTCCCACATTCTATTTATTTATTTATTTATTTTTACAGTTCCTACACAGTTGACATCTGCATCGTTCTTTGCAAAAGCACTCTAAATCCACGTTTATATTACTAGACAAGTCTGAATGTGTGCCCTTGTACCCCTCATGCTGGGGTAACATCTCAGTATACATTAGCTTCCTCTATGCCTTTCCTTACATTATTTTGCATGATAAAGAAAATAGGTATTCCTACACAGCATGAAGTTTAGACTCACAGTAGCCAGAGCACAGCACTGTGAACTTCCCCATGCTGCATGGTAGAAGTGCAGCCCAAGGACTAACTCCTCCAAACCTTTCCACTCTCCAGTGACTGCAAGAAAAAAACATTAACCAACAGCCTCAGACTGGCATGTGGGTTTTCTGACTTCTAACTTCCAGTTCCAACATTCTCAATGCATTTTCCTTACCTGTTTGATTTAAACACGTATGTAGAATATAGACTACCCAAAACAAGAAAACTTGTGAGTCCACAGAGGCTTCAAAACAGAATTAATCTCACAATCCCACAAATATTTTAGATATATCTATCGTTCTTATCACCAAAATGTTCCTGTACAATTAAATTTTGTACCCTAAAATAGGAAGCCATAGTTTGCCGCTTCATGTTAGTTGTTTCCTCAGGGTGTCGCATAACTTCCATTGTGTCAACCTGAAAGACAAAACTCAGATGTTAGAGCTGCTCCAGAAACACGACAGGCCCACCCCACCTCACCCACAGGAAAGCTGGGATCAGTTTTTGTTACGGTCATTCCTTCAGCTGTGAGTACTTCAGAATACTTTCTCCAAGGCAGGAAGGCCAGTTGCTACCAGAAGCAGGACACATGCTGATCTCAGAGAGCTCCAAGTGTTCCAAATGATTTCACATTTTTGCTATGATAGTATAATGTTCAGCCAGTGAAGCGGCTGTCAAGATGCAATATCTTATGAACTGATTTCTAAAAGGCATTCCTCTTATTCACTATGAACTCCACCAGGTCTTCTTTTCTATATAAGAAGATTTATCATTTTTGTAATGACCAGGAACTAAATTGAGCTGCCACATTTTGGTCACATATGGAGAAAATTTTGTAACTGGATAATAAGCAGCAAAGAAAGAAGGTAATCTCAGAACGTACAAGCCTTTTCCTTGCTGCTGCTACAGTTACTATTAATTACTTCAAATCGCCATTTTCATGCCAAGAATTTCAGCAATTTTACTCTGCTGAACTGCCATAGCTTCAAACACTGCTTTTTCAGCATTTCAGAGAGTTATTTTTAGAGAGTATACAGGGACAACAAACATATTGCTCCTTGTATATTTTAGTTATATTGTCAGTACAGCTGTTCTTATCAAAATGAAACCAGAATTTATGAATGAGTATAACTATGGTTACCAATCACAAGCAGATTGTGTTGCTGTATTAGAGCTCAACAAAATTAAAGAAAATCAACCGGCATCCTGTTTGCATGAAGCATTAACAGCATTTTAGCATTCACTTGCTTTGTGGCAGTTTACCATCTGCTCTGACCAGGTGGCATTGGTATAAACCAGATAATGCTGTTGTCAGCACCTGTGCTACACTTCCTGGACTTTGCTCCATACGATCATTTCCAGCACTCACGGACTTAAGATCACTCTTACGAACACTAAAAGCAACTGCTGAAAGATCACAGTTCTCAGTAAAGTAACAGTGTCTCTTACCTTCAGGAGATACTTAGGAGACTGCATGCAAAATATAAAGGAAATTAAGAACTAAGTAGTAATAGAACAAGAAAATTAATTTTGTGTTGGAGAAGAAATCAAAAGAAAAACTCGCAAAGACAAGATTAAGAATACAGATGGTGCAAAGGGAGACAGATTTCCATGAGGGTGACCATAAAAATTTCAGTATGTTTTTGTAATCTGAGATCTTCTAGTCCAGAGTGGTGTACACACATTAGTACACAACTCAAACTAACACCTGAGAAAAAAAAAAGATGCAGTTTGATTTCAGTTTTAAGGATGTTAACAGAAAACTATGTGACATATCCCAGGAAAAATGCCTTATCAGCACAGATCACATCAAACATCTTAAGAGGTCACCTGACAAAGCAAACATGAATGACCTAATCAGAACAGCAGGCATGTCCATGGGGAAGGACACGGGAATGTTTCAAAACTATCTTGGCAAGACAACTGCTTTTTTAGAATTAAGATCTAAATATCTAGCAAAGGTCTGGTGGAAGACAAAAGCCATACCAGTGAATACTGACAGTACGTTCAGAATAACTGGTAACATTTAATGTTAAAAGACAGACAATTTAATCACAAAGAACATCAAACCAAGAGCATAAGCAAATAGTTTGAGGGCTGCACTGAAGCCCAAATGCCCATGAATTTGAGCTTTTAAACTGCATTTTGGCAGTCTAGAAAAGCAAAGACTCTTAGTGATATTGTTGGCAGTTCAGCACTCATGATCTCTCAGTTCTATCTTGAATATCTGGAGGCCAATAGAGGGTGAGCTTTGCTCCACCTTTTGGGCAGCGGAATACTAAGCATCTCCTTTTCACAGCTGTTAATTTTCACCAAACCTGTAGAAACTTACAATCTTTGAAACTGCCATTCTGTCAAACATAGTTTACTACAGCCTGCTGGGTTCAAAAGGGTTTTGTTTTGTTTTAGGTTTTTGGGGGGGAGAGGGGGTGAACACACAGAAAGACAGATGGTCAAAAACACTCACAGAGGAGATTTAATACACTTTTTCTTGGGAAATCAGGATAAAGCCAGTATCATATACTCCTTTTTCTATGGATGCAGTCATAAATTCTAATCTATGGCATCTGTAAGGACTAGGATCAATTTCCACATTTTTTTGACAAGAAACAGTTTAAGTTTCCATTAGAAAAATTCTGATAGACCCTGAAGCTAGGGAGATTTTCCCGTAAGAATTTTTAGAAGCTTTGTCTCTGGTTAATTCATAACATTGTATGTCTATGAAGGCATTCAGTTTTACGGGAGGGCAATAATTGCACGTACAACAGGCAATGGGCTTTATCACAACTGTCTTAGGAGAAAATGACAGAATTAGGAGAAAATGATAGAACATAATATCATGATTTAATCTTAAGTCTTAAATCACCAGCTGCTTTTTAAAAACTTTAAAATTAAGAATATTTTAATTGTTCAGCCACATTTTTACATGACAGTAGTTGTGACATACAACATACATTTATACAATTACAACTAAAATGGAAAACAGCTTGACCTACAAAAGACAAATTGTTCCATCACTAAAAATTTGTTTACAGTAATTCTGAAAAAAATATTAAAAGAATTATTTACAACATCATGTCACCTTATGAAGTCACTGGAAATTATTACTTTCATATATTGACCACACCTGCTGCTGACATGGTATGATAGACTGTAAAACCAAAGAATACGTTAAGCAAAAAAGCTAATGAATTTAAATAATACATGAAAATCTCCGAAGTTCCAAACAAAATTAGTACATTCTGATTGCTTTTAAAAAATTGTAAAATAGTAATTTAAAATCTTTTTCTGAAGTTGTTTTAATTAGAAGTTTTATGAAATTATGAAATTACTTATGAAATTACATGAACAAATTCTTTTAGCTAAAAACTATTTCAGTTAACATTTTCTGAATTGTTCTGCACTTGTGCACGTCTTTTAGCTCCTTTGTTAAAAATCTGAAGGGGGAAGAGAAAGCAGTCGAACACTACTTAGTAACTGATTGTGTTTACTGACTCTGAGAGAGAGTTGTTCTATTGCAGTCCAGCTGTATCAGTAACATGCATCCTTTGAAAGCTTATGCTGAATATAGCTGAGTGTCGAAGAGAATGTGTGTACAATACAAGAAAATTGGAAAGGCTATTATCTGTCCTTCAGCACTGAAAGTGTTTATACCAGAGAGGAAATAAATCTCTGAAATCCACATCTGTATTTGCAGGTATAGTGAAGGATATAGATGTCTTGGTGACATGAATTACTGCATCAACATTTGAGCATGAGCTCCTAATAACAGGAAAGAACGTAAAGAAATAGAAAACTCAGAAAATAAAATTCAGTAGACTTTTGAGAAATTGCTGCTACCACATTTGTTTTTCAAAAGTATTATTGTTTGCTTAGGAGGCAAAAATAAACCCAAACCCTTGATTAAGCTAAGTATAACAGTACTACTTAGGAAGTCGGTACTCATTCTACCAGCTTGAGGCACAAGTTTTCCTCACAAATTACATGTACTCAGTTGGCAACACATCCTATTAAGTACCAAAAAATTACTCCATCTTTTTGCAATTATGCCACATAGTTTTACAGCAAAACTCAGCAGTGTTTAAATGCTACAGTTCTTTTCAAAGAATAATGAGTTTGCTGAGTCACTCTTTTCTGGTCATCTGTCAGTTACTAATGTCTCCTCATTTTTCACTTGGAAGCTGAATACAAACGGAATGGATAATTTTTTTATTTTGCCTTTCATAGTGTTAAATGTGCTATTCAAAATTTACCTAATTAAATCTCTTTCTAGGCCAAAATTGCCAGAGGAAAAACTTGAGCCCACTGAAACAAAGAGGAATAGTGCTATCAATGTACCTAGGACTTCACTCCAAAAGTTTAAGGATTAATCAGTAGTAAATTGATTCTTCACTGCATTGTATGATAGGGTCCTCACCAAAACTGGAAGCGGTGCTCCCAGCTGAGATGCATGCTTTCTGATGTTAAGGCGGACTCTCAGTTGGCAGGAACCTCACTGTATACCTACACCGGCTAAGCATCGTGGCCACAGTCTCGCTGTAATATTTTACAATCGCCTGTCTTCAGAGGGAACACTACTAACCTTGATACGCCCAGCGCTAAGCTGTGGAGGCAAAGACCTAGATGCTGCTGTCACTCTGGCTCTTGCTTGTGCCAAGTTACCTGTTCAAAAAGAAAGAAATAAATACTGCAAAAACTGTTCAAGAAGCTTGGCAGGGAACAAATGGTGTGGTGGGAAATCATTTTGTACAACAGTACTAAAAATAACAGACACCATCACACTTCTTCCACACCCCACTCATTACCAATTGTGCCTGCAGAGCATTCAGCAGGGGCATGACAGAGCGCTGTGTTGATTTAAAAGGGAGGAAAAAGTCAGTGATAAGGTGCTATGTCACTGACCTTAGCTACTGAGCTGATGAAAACAACGACAGCACAAAGGCATACAGCTCAATCACTAGTGATCAATTTCTCTGTGACTCATTGAGAGATTTAAAAAAAACCCAAAACAGCAGAAACAATCTTGTTCCTTATGAAATCTGGTGGATCCTGAAGTGTTTAGACAGCATCTTAAGCTCACAAACTAATGAAAGAGATGAGAAAATGATAAGACGGTATCTTTTTTTGACCTTTTGACATATAGACCTGCTTAATCCCCAGTCTTATTGTCCCTTGGGGTTTCTAAAGACTGACCCAATTCCTCAGGCAAAACCATATTGTGGCGTCAGCTGAAAGACGAGTGCCTTTTTTTAAACGTACAGTATGATGTGTCCTAAACTTTTTCCTCTGTACTTGCAGAAAGCCGAAGTCATCACAAATAGCTTTTCAAAATAAAGGCTCAGAGAAGAGAGAGGAAGTGATACGGGACTGTGCATATGCAAGACACTCTGTATATTTCAAAGTTTTAGCAAGTCTAGCACAAGATGTCCAAATGTTTTCTCTGGCTATATCTTCAGAGGCTAAACTGTGATTAATAGCATTGAAAGAACCCTTTGAAGCAGGATTGGTGACATCAAAGCCCTAATCCATGGGTGGCAGGATTTTTATAATGAGTGGGAAGCATTTTAACACATTTCAAAGGATTTACAGCATGAATAAACAATAGGCCTCTGCAGATGTACCACACACCTTTCAGAACCAGAACACATAAATAAGTGTCCATTTTAATTTAAATGTAAATAAAGTGTTAACACTTCTTTCAGATGCTAAAGTGCCTTGTTTGCATCAACTCCAGTTTTTAGCTGTTTGCTTTACAGCAAGCCAGTAACTCTGAACAGTCTTCAGAGTTTTGCTAAACTATATATTACATAACGGGTAAGGAGGCAGGATGGAAAAAACAAAAATCAAGAACACTTAATCTCTGGTAATTATTCCATAAAGGAGCAGTGCCCACATAACACTGAAAGGAACACTTGCTCTTACTTTCCTCAAAACAAGAAAATTATCGATCCCCTGGAAACAATCTGGGGGCTGGCAAATAAACATAGCAATGACATTCTTTGGAGAGATCCAAACTTTTTAAAAACTATTTCTCTTTTAAGCTGCTGGCACCGAGACGGATACAATGCTGTGAAACTGGCATGTCCTTCACAGATCTAACAGTGTAAGTTACCTCACAGCCTAAATCACAGTGCGGAACACAAGGTATGTCCACAGTTTTGGAAATTGCCTCATGCTTTATACTGTGTAGGGTAATTATGAACCACAACTCTGCTCAGAAAATCTTGTATATCTATATTCACACATGATACCTACGGTATATACATGTACCTTTCAAAAGTTAAAATAAAGACCTTAATGAGCAAGTAGTTGATAAATTTCTTTTTCTCTTAGTTGTAAATTTGATATTTTTGTGTGTTAAAAATTACTCTTCTGGCCTTTTTTTGTGAAGGTTGGTTTTGGCTAGGCTTCATATTAGCAAGTCTAAAGCTTGAAAGCCTTGCACTAGAGAACTGATGACACAATATGGGATAAAAGAGGGGATTTGGGAGAAGGAACAGATCTGAATTGTTTTTTTAAAAATTATTAAAACTTTTTTGCATTTTACAAGTTACACAACTCTTAGTAACCAAATAAAATTCAGAATTATAAGATACTTGCTCAAGGTTCTCCACACTCACTGTTGGCATTAGGTTCTTGGGTTCATAACTAATATCTCTGAGCTCTCCCTTAGTTCCTCATACAAAATTAAAATTAAACTTAACACTTCTGACCTGGCAAACCAAGCAAATAAATAAACAAACTATTTTATTAATCAAAAATCTCTAAGGACCTCACAAACAACAAAAAATCCCCCAAAGTGGTCAGTCCTTACTTAAAAAAAGCTTCACATATCTTGATTTGTTTCATCAGATACTTCCTTTCAAGAATGGATTCTTATCAGGGCTTATTTCATATGTCACTGTATAATTACTAACTACTGAAGTGCAGCATCAGATGAAATCCATAGGAAAAATGTTACTAGGATTTTCTTTTCCAGATCAAATATGAAATGATGCCTCAATAAAAGTTTGTCAATTAAGTCATCTGAAGCAGTTCGTGGTCAGGAAAATAGCTACCTATGTTTAATATGTCTAAGCCATTAAAACTAATAAACAGAACAAATGGGGTTTGAAAATTAGTTGTAAAAAATGTTTCACCCAGAGTTAGCCTGGTGTTTATAGTCAGTAAACATTCGGTACCTGTCCCTGCATTCGATCTTCATTTACAAGGTCATTTACTACTTTACACACAAAAAATAATTAAATGTTATTTCGCTTTGTGAAGAACACCAATATTTGAAGAACAAATGTTTTTAGATAATAACAGAGCCAGTTAAAACTGCCATGGGTTCCTTGAAAGGTTAAACTGGTTAAAGGTTAAAAGACTGCACTGCGTCTTTCAGAAGTCTAGCTTCACACCTATTATATGGTCAGCACTTCAGAGAAAATACAAATGACATCCATGTAGTGACTTCTATAAAATACTACCTATATTAAATCCAAGTCCATAAAATGGACCAATTAGGCAATTAAAAACCCTCTTAAGATTTTCTTAGGGTTTTTTTTGGAAAAGGCATTAATGAGAGAGTGAAGTTAATGGTTACAATTGGAATTAATCTTTTAAACATGTACATGTTTAATTTTGTTCCCATGCCTTTGTTTCAGTTCTACAGGACTGCTCATCTGAAAAATTTAGGCTCCTACCTATATGTCTGCCAGATCAGAGACTAAGGTCTCTGGGATTCATTTGTGTCAGTGGGAGATTTAGTCAGCCCCAAGTTTCTCCTTTTTCCCTCTGTTCAATAAAGTTAGGAATGTCATTAATGCTTTGAGAAGTTTCAGTCATTAAAGTTTGTGAAATGCTTCCAACAGAAAGAGAAGCAGCAGCACAAAAATCTGTGCTCTCACTGGCTAAGCTCACTGTGCTGATGCTTAGCAAAACTCCTTTTGTCTTGAAGCTGTATAGGAGAGCTCACATCTCTGCAAACATATTCTTCACTGATGCCTCATTTCAACTAGGTGAGAAAGACCATAGCGTCAAAGTACTGTATCTTATGCAAAGCCAAGCAGAAGTTTTTAAAGCATTTCAAGTATTTACACAGCACAGAAAGAAGAAATGGGTTTTCTTTTCTCAGCTTGGACTTTGGAAGTGCTCTCTAGATCTCAGAGAGGACTAGTCAGCATTCCTGGCTTCTCACTTGCATCCCTGACACTTACTCAGTGTGTGATCCAGCCAAATTAATAATTTGTCCAGCCACTGAGTTTCCAAACTAATTAGGAAAAGTACACTCTCTGGTTGGATGTTCTGATGGTACTTACAGCTTATCAGCACTTCATTACCCTTAGGTGATGAGTTCTATAAGTCAAATCAAGCAAATATTAGTAATATTAGCACTGTATTTATAACCCCATGCTGGTTATGTCTGCAATAGATCACTCCTCCCAATGTAAGCGCATGCCAGGTAAAAATTACATTAAGCTTTGATACAACATTTAGTTTGTGAAGTGCAAATGACTTACAGAGAAAGAGCCTAACGACAATGTCACCTCACTGTACAAGCTGTACCAGGGATATTACTATTATATAGAAGGCACAGTACAAGCTCTTCCCTTATCCTCATATATTTTATTAATTTCTTTCATGCTTCTGGTTCAGATAAAGAAGGGTTACTTGAAACACCATGTAGATACAGTATAATATGGTCAGAAATGCTACAATGCATTCATATTTCATTGACATTACTTCTAATCACAGCTAAGCACTTGCACTCCAGAAGAGGTACGGAGCCAGACAATGTCTCTGACATACATAGATTCTTCTGTCTTTCCTTTCAGTACATTTTATCTAGCCTAAGGAAGTCGACTGCTTATCTTCATAATGCATTTTCATCTTCTGCTTCTCCAAGACTAAGCTTTTCTTAGCTCAACTATAAATGAATGCATGTACTTTTTTTTATTGGGTACTAATTTGAATCTGGTCACTGGCTATCAAAACTCTATTCTTTTGAGTCACTAAAGTCATTTAAGCTAATCTTGTACAATAAAAAGCTAGAATCCAATTTTCTCATATACTGCAGATTTTACACAAGAATATATTTATTAAAATACTGTCTGTAGAATACATCTATCAATAGCCATGCTTGCACTGCTGAGAATCACTGTACTTATTTAGAATAAGTAAATAAAAACCAAGAAATAATATTTCCAAAATGAGATCCATATTACAAAACACAAACTGATAACCATGAAAACTCAGTGAGGTCCACCTGGGAGCAACCTGATTGGGAGTAACTGCTTCAGAAGCAAAGAAGATGCACTTTTTGGGCCAGTTTATTTGAAATGAAAAATCCATGCCACAGTGAACTAACAATTCTGACCATCAATTAGATTAAAGGTTTCTTATAGTCTTGTTAGCACCAAGTAGACATAGACCATATTTGAAGACACTTAAAAGCTTTACACTGCTAGACTGAGATTGGAGAACCTGAGTGTAAATTCAGTGCTGCTGTGCTTTGAACCACATATATTGCAGACACTTCAGTGGTCACTTCCCACATTAGTAAGGCACGCTCTGGCAAACACACAGCATGAGGTTTACAGCAACAAATGAAATTTTGTTTGTAAGCATCAATGCTGCTATGTTTAAATATTGTTTTAACACAGTAGATTAGTAAACTTCTT